CGTTAAGCATTTAATAAAATAAAATATTAAGAAATAACTGGGCACAAATATTTATATATATATATATATATATATATATATATCTAATAATTAGATTATACATGTTAATTATGAAGTTTATTGAATAAGACTTCGAATATAATGTACGATAATAGAATAAATTTATATAGTTTTTTTTATTATAATTTATGAATTTAATATAAACATAAATTTGCATATTTAGAGGTAAGAGATCGAGTTGATTTAAAACAAATAAATAATAATGTTTAAGTAAATATATAGTTTGGATTAATTATTTGATTAGAAATTGTATTAGTAAAATGTTTTCCAAGTTATCTTTAAAAAAAACTTAATTTTGTTATTGAAATTTATTTTTCTTATATTTTTCTTTAAGGAGATGATTTTTCTTCAAGTAAAAATATAACACTTGAAAGTTAAAGTGTAACTAGAAGATTACCAAAAGAAACTACATACAGATATACAATATCAGCAAACTACGAAATTAGGATTGATCCTCTATTTCATCCTTATTGCTTAACATCTTATTCATAGACAACTCTTCATCAGCTCACATCGTAAAGATGATCATTGCAACCCAAGAAACGAACAAACATACAAAAAAGAGTAAGCTAGTTTATCAAAGAACACATATAATATAATTTACAACGTCAAATTCAATATCAAACATGAAGAATATTCATACACATTTCATCATATTACTCTGGAGTGACCATCCGGATACATGTATTAATATAAAACTATAGAGACCTTGCCTTTTAGGTGGAACAAAAATAACTTCCTCAACAAGAATCACCACGGGTTAATCATTTCAAGTCTCTGTGCCAAATAATTAACCAATAGACTATGGACCTCCTACTACTCTCTGCCACATAATTGTTTTTCTCTTCTTGAGACTAGAAGTTATTGAGAGCGTCAAAATAACATCTAATTACTAGTATCCCATATCAATACATACACTTACACACATAACCATCCAAATGAATTTTCCTTAAAATCCTTATAATCATCATTCACATGCCATCATATTTTTCAACCATATCACACAATATAAGATAAACCATCCTACCATTTACAACTAAATAGAATTGAGAAAGTCACTTTAAATAACCAAAAGAACTCAAACTCACTCACCTAGCGAGCAGTCTTCACTCGTCCAACGAGAGCACAACTAGTGAGCTCCAACATCCCAACAAGTTGGCTCGCCTAGCCACTAAAACCCATTGTTCAACACTCTCAATACTCGCCCAGCAAGCACCTACTCGCCCAATGACACTACATAATTATGCAAAATACCAATTATGCAAAATTTGCACCCCCAATCCATCCCAACCTATCTTTGGCATTCCTATCAACTTCAACCACTTTCATTTGATGTTCTAAGATACAATTAACATGTCTAAGTGTATAATCTTCAACTTAAACAAAATTTAAATATGTTTCACTATAGGATTTCGATTTAAATTAACTAAAACCTCACTTTAGAGACCAAATTTCTATTCTATACCTTTTAGCTCATAACTAAGCAATTTAGGGGTTTAAGCAAGTCCAAGTTGACTCAAAAGTAAACCCAAAACCCTTAATTCTATCTCATACCTTATACTTCTAAAACTCACTACTCAAAACCTCAAAATACATTTAAAAGTCATTGAAAAACACAATCTAACGTCCACCATGCATTTCTAGACCATTCTTATCTTTACTCACCACCTAAAAATATCTCAAATGACACTACCATGGATCCCTAACCACCATTTCTCCATTTTTACCATTTCTTCTAAAAATTTTCTATCAACACCTCTCTTTTGACCAAGATGACCCATAATTTTACTAATTCATTTCCATTTAACATTTCAACCAAAAGTAACACAACCATTTCACAAAACACACATTCACAAGGTTATTACAACCTAAACGCAAAGTCATACAAAGCATCAAGCATCACACTATTGATTTCACTTAATTAAAACACAATTCAATAAGTCAATCATCTCAATTACAACTAAAACATTATATCATCTTAACAATTTATCAATCATAATTGAAATTCAATAATATAAGCATAAACACTGGCTTCCCTTACCTTAATAGGAATCTACCACAACTCTACACAACTAACTACTATTGCTTCGAGCTTAAAGAACTCTAGAAAAACTTACAAGCCACAGAAACATGATTAGAGAAAATCCTTAGAACATATGATCAACGAAGAGATGGAGAGAAAACAAATTTGACATATGAGAAAGAAATCTCTATGCGTGGACTTGACAAAAAATTAGAGAAAAAATGAGAAGAAACTTACTTGCTTTATAAGGAAGATTGATCGAATGGAAATGAAGGATTCACTCTATGATCGCTTAGACACCTTATGATAATCAAACAGATGATCTAGGAGTTAGAAATTGTAGAGAGAATGAAAAAAGAACTAAGAGGAAAAGTTCTAGAGAGATGACAAATGTTTTTTATAATGAGACAAGTTTAAAAATTTCTATTTATATTATTGAATTATTTTAACTTTAAAATACTTAGTTTTATTATTTTAAAAGACTTATCAACTCTAATACTCTATTTTCCAAAAATAATTAATTATTATATTAATTAAATTAAAAACCATTTTAGAAATGAAAAATCATAAATATTTAAAATAAATTTTATTATTAATAAAAATTATAATTAATTTCTGAATTAAAATCTAAAATACTATTTAATATTAATTAAATTATAATTTATTATTATTGATTCTATATTATTCTATACTTTTTTTTATATTTCCACTTGTTAAAGAATTCTGTGCCGATCATCCTTATCTCCTACCTCAATCTTAAACTTCCTTAGATAAGACCATCTTCCTCCGTTGTAGCTCTTATTATGTTAATGTGTGAAAAAAATTAGTAAAATTGTATTATTCCAAACAATAAATAATAATTTTAATACTAAAATGGTATAAGAAAAATAAAAATTGAAGTAGTATTTAAATTTTTGAAACAATATTTATCTTCTTTCAATTTAATTTTTAAACTATTTTTTTCTCAGTTCACTTTTTTCTACCGAACCAATTTTATAATTCCATAGTATGATGAACGAACGATAAATTTAGTTCCTATGTTTTTTCTTAAAAACTCTTTAAAATAATAAAATCATATAAGTAATTTATAGTAAAAAATATTGGGTGAAGAATTGATTTTATTTGTATAACTGCGATTACAACCTCTAATGAGTTTTCATAGTAAAAATCCAGACATTTTTTTACTAAATAGATAACCTACATAATATATAAACAAACTTAGGATGTTTAATTATTACTCCAGGGGTACTCTTATTGTAAGAGACATATAGTAAAATTCTTAAAAATAAGGATTTATTGCCCAATGCTTCCATATTTACTCAAATTTAATTCGTTGTTTCGGAACTGGCAAGGAATATATAAATTCAAGTGACTCCATGGATTGTCCAAAAACACACCGCAATTCTCCGCACCGCCTTTCCATACGAACACCTCTCCAAATTTTCTCGTCTGTTCCTTGTTTTCCTGCAATGGTGGGCCCCTTCAGCGCCGTCGATCGCAGGGTGGTTAGAGTCGCCATCGTAGGCGACTGTGGTACCGGAAAATCCACACTCATTGCTGCAATGGCGTCGGAATCTTTCCCCAAGTCCGTTCCGGCCGTGCTCCCTCCTACTCACCTGCCTCATAATCTCTACCCCGATTCCGTTCCTCTTACCCTCATTGACACACCTTCCAGGTCTCTGCCACACTCGCATTCCTTCTCCGCGCGCTATTCAATTCAAGCAAAACAAAAGAAAACTGACAGTAGTAATAATTTTGTAAATAACTGGTTAATCAGATATAAGCCCTAGATTCAACTGAAAGGAATGCCATTCAATTTTCTTAATGTAGAGTTTATATGGGAGTTTTCTCGTTTGAATTAACACTTTCGTCGCGACGTGTGATTTGTATTGTTTTAGCTTCGAAAAGCAAGGCGAGCGCAGTGAAGAATTGAAGCGAGCTGACACGGTGGTCTTAACCTATGCTTGCGACGAACCGTTGAGCTTTGAGCGTTTGAGTACTTACTGGCTCCCTGAACTGCGGAAGTTGGAGGTTAGTTTTGCTTCTTTTAGTTAATGACAATTTTTCTGTTTAGAGATGGAGTTTGAAGTGAATGGGAAGCTAATAGTTGCCTTCTATTGTTTATTGTGAGGCAGGTGAAGGCACCTGTGATTGTAGTTGGCTGTAAGCTTGACCTTCGGAATGAAAATCAGCTAGTGAGCTTAGAGAGTCTCACAACAAATATCATGCAACAGTTCACAGAAATTGTCACTTGTGTTGAATGCTCTGCTGTTACACTTTACCAGGTGTGATGTTTTGCTGCATCATTGTTACTTGGTTTCGTGGTTTTATGTGTTTCTTGATATTGTTGGAAATTTGGACAAATGCTGCTGCTGTGGGCACAACTGTAGTTGCATACACCTTCGGAACCTATGCAGACCATGTCTTAAAATCTTGGTCATGCTTATCTATTGTTTAGTTAGTTAGTATGTATATGGTTAGAAAACAGCATCAGAAAATGCATGAATGGATCATATTTTTTATTATTAAAGATCACTCATTCCTGAGTATTCCTTTAGTGCGATTCATTACAATAATCCTAAGAAAGTCGTGCATTGATGTGATAGTGCTAGATCTGGCTTTAGGCATATAAGGACAACTTCTTGATGGTGATATTGGAATTATATTCAACTCCCTATTTAGTAAAACTCAGGTGCGTTATATTTGATTATTTTTAGGTCCCAGAAGTTTTTTATTTTGCCCTAAAAGCAGTACTGCATCCAGTAGATCCGTTGTTTGATTATAAAAGACATGGTTTGACAGATCCATGTGTGAGGGCTTTAAGAAGAATATTTATTCTATGCGATCAAGACATGGATGGTGCTCTCAATGATGAAGAGCTAAATGAGTTTCAGGTTTTTATAAATGGCCCTCCTTGCCCTTTATAGTTTGAATATTTAGTTTGTTGTATGCCCTTTACTTTTGCTAATTCATATTTCAACAGGTTAAATGCTTCAATGCAGCATTGCAGCCATCTGAAATAGTAAAAGTCAAATCGATTGTGCAGCAGAAAGTACCTGACGGAGTCAACTCTGTTGGTCTTACCTTTCCAGGCTTTATTTATGTCAATAACATGTTTCTACAGAAAGGGCGAACAGAGACATTGTGGGCCGTTCTAAGAAAGTTTGGATATGATAATAATTTAAAACTTCGGGATGATTTCCTTCCAGTTCCATCCATGCATGCTTCTGATCAGGTCATACTCTCTTTTTTTCTTGGTTTTGGCTGTTTGTGTAATTCCGTTTCGATATTCTTGTTTGAGTTAATTTGTAGAGGTTAAAGTACCAGGTTAACCATTCAATTGTTATAATCTCCACACTTGTATTAACCTTAACAGAAAATTTGTGTAATTGTTAAATGAGAAAAACTAAAATGTTATATATGAATGGTGTTCGAAGTCCCACATCGATTAAAGATAAAGCCAATTTAGAATATATAATGAGGTGCAAACCTCATCTTACAAGCCGGTTTTGTGGGGTTGAGTTAGGCTTCACTTCTTAACATGGTATGAGAGCCATTCTTAGAGCTTATTTTAGCGAGATTTGTTGTTTGTTGGATATATTTTTCCAATCTCTATCGGGTCGCTATTGAACCACCCATCAATGTCTTGTTTCACGTCCGAGTGTATATACTTCAGTGTGAGGGTGGTAATTTAAAGTATATAAGTGGATGCAAACCTTACCTTACAAGCCGGTTTTGTAAAATTTAGGCTTAAAGTCCATTTTTTAACAAGTGGTACTTGTTTGTTCTAGTAATATTTGCCATTAATTACCAATTCAGCAAAGTTGATAATTTCTCAAAACCAAACAAGTAGGAAATGTTAGCTGACAGATGTGAACTACTCAGATCACTAGGATAGGTGATTACAGAGAATATTGATTTTATTTTTTCTTGAAATTTACCTCTTATATGTTCTGTCGTTATTCATTTTCCAGACTCTGGCAGTTTGGACTGTAATAGTTTACAGCTAGTACTTGACATATTATAATATTATTCCTATTTTCTCTTTTATGAATTGGAAAAAGGATGCAAATATTTGATGGTATAGTTTAGTGATGCATGTGTTCAATCAAATGATCATTTATAGAAACGTGAGACATGGTTTCTCTTCTAGCCAATCACTGCACATCCTCTTGTTTTAGGGCATTAAGTCACGACAAACATTTTTGTGAATGTGTTCTTTATGATTGCTGTATAACTTGCAAGAGATATGTAGAACTTACTTTCTTAGACATTACCATGCAGAGTGTGGAGCTGACATGTGAAGCCGTAGAGTTTCTGAATGATATCTTTCAATTGTTAGATACAGATAAAGTATGTATAACTCTTTTGGATTCTCTTGACCACTACTATGTGCATTAAACACCCACTTTATGTGGCTTTCCATGAAGAACATCAATATACTCTTCTAATTTTCGGTTTCGAAACCTGATACTTTTCTAGGATCTAACTCTACGACCTGCCGAAGTTGATAACCTATTTGATACTGCTCCAGAAAGGTGACCTTTGCCGGTACTTGTCCTTTAAAAGTAGTATCATCCTAATTTTATGTTTATTTTAATTGTAATTTCTTATCTTGATGAAGTAGTTGATATGATCAAAAGGTGGTCAATATAATTTTGTGTATTCTTTGTAATTTTTATTATGCTTTTTCTACCAAGTGACTGAATTGTCACATGGGAAGATAAAAAAACCACATTGGAAGGTGAAGCATTCATGTTCTCATGGTGGAAAATAATGATGCATATAGTAGAAATTAAAAGCAACACTAGTGATTGCTAGTGGACATTAAGAACTACTGATTAGGAATTAACGTAGAATTTAGCGGGTCTTATTATGGTTGTCTACATGGGCACATAATTTAGCCTGTAAAAAGATGTATTTTTAATGTAATAAAAGGATATATATGAATTCCAAAGGTAATTAAATTTTCTCTTTATAAATATTTTATGGGATAACTTGTGATGATCAATTCTATGACTTATCACTTACTTACCTTCTCATATTTCTTGAGTGTGGTGTTTGTATCCTTTCCCGAACTAAATATCAGAACAATTCTTCTGTTTTCTCATCAATAGTCTAGAACTTGTTGACTACCTCTAACGTGACATATTGCTTCAGTGACTAGAAGAGTGCTTTAGATAGCTTTTAAGTTCAAAACTCAGTAACGTATTAATAGGACCCTTGAGAAAATAATAGTTTACAAACTAAGTTTCCCCAGCAAAATAATAGTAATTGCACTATTAGTTTGGTGGGTAAGAGAAGTTACCTAATTGATTAGGTAGTTTGAGTTGTAGGAGCAAGACAAGGGCTTCTTGAACTATTATTGACAGCCTCAATTGAATACTCGCTTCTTGAACTTGCTAGTGTTAGCGCTTTATACGTGTTGTTTTGGGGGGTTTTATGCAACTTTGCAATGTGGTTTTGTAAATGTATGTTTCATAACTGGCATCATAACTACGAGAAATATATTGGAATTGACTTAAATTTTCTGGAAGGAAAGGAACGTTCAAATATGTTGAGTAAACACCTAGAAAATAGTGCTAATAATAAGTGATGTTTGGATTCAACTAAGTTCTTAGGTTATTGTCACTATCCATGTCTCGTTGGTTGGTAATGCTCAAGCAATAACGATGAGAACTTAGGGCTGGTAAGTTATTTTTGTCTAATTCATGACTCTTGTTACATGGGGCTGATTTAGCTTATATTTTCTTTCATTTGAATCAGTCCTATGGGTTTGTTAGTGTCTTGTTTATATTGATTGCAAGCGAGATTTAAAATTGTTGTTCTATCTCGACCCTTGATGTTGTAGGAAATTACGGTTGCAATAACTCTAAAAACCTTAACATTGCAGTCAAAATCATAGTCATTGACCTTGTTAAAACCTTGATAATGAGTATGGTTGTAGTTTTTCATGCTAGTGTAGATATAACGACTTGAAAATCTCTCAGACTTTGGGGAGTGGATTGTTTCACTTACTTGAGAAATCTGAACATAAAAAACATGATGCTTACTCTTTTTAGTTGATATTACTTGAAACCAATAAGAGTAGTATTAATTTTAAACCTTTCATCCATGTTCAAGTGTGATATGTTCTTGACAAAAGTTTCACCATCTGAAATTTTTATTTGTTTATGAATTTCAGTCCATGGAACAATGCTCCATATAAGGATGCAGCAGAGAAATCTGATACGGGCTATATCTCTCTAAATGGATTTTTGTCTCAGGTGCTTACTTTATACTTTTCTTCTTCAACCTTTACCATTGATGGATCTCTGAAAGGATTTTTGTGATTCATGATTCTAATTGTCAGCATTATTGATGGCTGTGATCTACAAAGGCTTTTTTCCTTGCTAATATAGTGAACAGATTGTGAAGTTGAGACTTGAGATAGGTTTTGTGATAGCAACTGTCATCAGTATTATATATATTTCTGTATGATTAATTGAAGAAAGGGAAATAACAAAGAGCAGTAGCTCCCAGCTCAAAAGAACATCTAGACTTGACAATCCCGTTAATATTTGGATATCCCCTCTCAACAATTTTTGTCTCTCTTTAACTTGCCCCTGGCCTTACCAATGTACTGTTTTGAAGTAACGGGCCTCACTAATCTTAGGTCTATGAGCAATACACCTAAAGGGGTTTAGGGGCTTTTGAAATTGGATTTGGGTTCCAATCAATTCCACTTACTTTAAATCTTGCCTTGTCCTCAAGGCAAAGGGTACAAAACTTCTCTTTGGTTCCTTTTTGCTTCTTATCAAGTAGCTTCTTCAATTGGTTTAGTCTTCCAAAGGATGACCCTTTCTGTGATTACCTTGCCATTGCATTTACTTTCTCTAGAAGCTAGAACTGCCTCTGGAACAACTAGATCCATGTCTTCAACCTCCATCTTAGATGGCATTGCGATTTCCATTGCTTTACCATGATAATATTGCTTGAACTAGGATACATTGAATTCTTGATGATCCCTGACTGCTTCTGAAAATTGTAGCTCATATGTTACCTCCCATGTGTGGGCTACAATATGGAAAGGACCAAGAAGCATAGAGACAATTATGAATTGATCGCTTTCTATAGTGTTTGTCAATGTGGTATCAGTTTAATGTACGTACAATTACCATTGGCATATGTCACTTATCTGCAATGAGAATTTGCATGTTTCTTCATTCTTTGTTGAGCTCTTTAGGGATGATGCTTCAATTACGCAAGGCCTCATCTCTCTCAACTAAAACACATGCACACTGACTCTAAGGTTTTCCCATTCAAATACTGTATGATAGCTGGTGGATGCCTACCATACACAATTTCAAATGGGGTTTTTCCGGTTGTTGTATGGTATGATGCATTATACCAAAATTAGGTCCACAACAAACAAAAATGCCCTTGTTTAGGTTGCTTTGTAAAGAGAAAACACCTAGGTAAGTTTTAAGGCATCAATTAATCATCTTTGTTTAACTGTCCATTTGACGGTGGTAGGAAATACTCTTGCGCGACAATATTCCTTGGGAGAAAAATAGTTCCTTCCAAAACCTGCATAAGAAAAGCATGTCACAGACATAATGGTAGGGCCTTGAATGACTTTTTGGGAAAACTTATATATTAGTCTTGACAGTAAATGGGGTTTAAGGGTGATAAAATGGGCATATTTAGGCAACTAATCAATTACTAACATCATAACATCATACCCATGTGACTATGGAACCATTGAAATCTCTACCCAATTTTTCTTTATAATAGGTGGTAACAGCTTAGTTGGGGACAATGTTTGGCATTTGTGCCATTAACATTATCGCACCCAGGAACAAAATCTGTAACATTTATTTTTTCATTCCATTCCAATAAAAGTTTCTATCCAACCTCTTGTATTTTTTTTTGTGGGGTTAAAGTGGCTTCCTATAGGGATGGAATGAAACTATTGTAATATTATAGGAATCAACAATGAACTTTTAGATAATNACCAATGTACTGTTTTGAAGTAACGGGCCTCACTAATCTTAGGTCTATGAGCAATACACCTAAAGGGGTTTAGGGGCTTTTGAAATTGGATTTGGGTTCCAATCAATTCCACTTACTTTAAATCTTGCCTTGTCCTCAAGGCAAAGGGTACAAAACTTCTCTTTGGTTCCTTTTTGCTTCTTATCAAGTAGCTTCTTCAATTGGTTTAGTCTTCCAAAGGATGACCCTTTCTGTGATTACCTTGCCATTGCATTTACTTTCTCTAGAAGCTAGAACTGCCTCTGGAACAACTAGATCCATGTCTTCAACCTCCATCTTAGATGGCATTGCGATTTCCATTGCTTTACCATGATAATATTGCTTGAACTAGGATACATTGAATTCTTGATGATCCCTGACTGCTTCTGAAAATTGTAGCTCATATGTTACCTCCCATGTGTGGGCTACAATATGGAAAGGACCAAGAAGCATAGAGACAATTATGAATTGATCGCTTTCTATAGTGTTTGTCAATGTGGTATCAGTTTAATGTACGTACAATTACCATTGGCATATGTCACTTATCTGCAATGAGAATTTGCATGTTTCTTCATTCTTTGTTGAGCTCTTTAGGGATGATGCTTCAATTACGCAAGGCCTCATCTCTCTCAACTAAAACACATGCACACTGACTCTAAGGTTTTCCCATTCAAATACTGTATGATAGCTGGTGGATGCCTACCATACACAATTTCAAATGGGGTTTTTCCGGTTGTTGTATGGTATGATGCATTATACCAAAATTAGGTCCACAACAAACAAAAATGCCCTTGTTTAGGTTGCTTTGTAAAGAGAAAACACCTAGGTAAGTTTTAAGGCATCAATTAATCATCTTTGTTTAACTGTCCATTTGACGGTGGTAGGAAATACTCTTGCGCGACAATATTCCTTGGGAGAAAAATAGTTCCTTCCAAAACCTGCATAAGAAAAGCATGTCACAGACATAATGGTAGGGCCTTGAATGACTTTTTGGGAAAACTTATATATTAGTCTTGACAGTAAATGGGGTTTAAGGGTGATAAAATGGGCATATTTAGGCAACTAATCAATTACTAACATCATAACATCATACCCATGTGACTATGGAACCATTGAAATCTCTACCCAATTTTTCTTTATAATAGGTGGTAACAGCTTAGTTGGGGACAATGTTTGGCATTTGTGCCATTAACATTATCGCACCCAGGAACAAAATCTGTAACATTTATTTTTTCATTCCATTCCAATAAAAGTTTCTATCCAACCTCTTGTATTTTTTTTTGTGGGGTTAAAGTGGCTTCCTATAGGGATGGAATGAAACTATTGTAATATTATAGGAATCAACAATGAACTTTTAGATAATAACATCATCCCTTAAGAGAGAACAACCCTTTACCATCAATTATAATTTAGTTTGTTTGTTGGATCAGCTTGCAAAGTATTTTGCAATTGAATCTGTTAGGATATTTACCTTATTTATCATCATTATATTGTGTCAAGGGTTACCCTATTTATCATGATCATATTGTGTCTAGGGTTACCTTATTTATCATGTACTCTTGTATCAATTCTTATAAATAGAAGATTATGAGAGAGATCAATCAAGCCCTCTAAAATTATTTTACAGTTTAATTCTTAAGTTGGTATCAGAGCGGGTCGATCCCGTTCTGGTTTCTGTCTCGTAGCATCGTCCACCGCCGACTGCCGCCGTCATAGTTCCTCCTGTCTAAATCCTTAGGGTTTTCTTGTTCCTCGCTTGTGCGATTCGTCTTCTTCAATGATAGCATCTGGCAGTATGCTTTCCTTCTTCGAAAGTTCATCAATTATCTCCGAGAAGCTAAATGGAAAAAATTATCTATCATAGTCTGCTGTCGTTGAAATGTGGTTCCTTGGCCAAGGGCATTATGACCACCTTGAGCGAGATGGAAGCCATGTGCTTGTTGAAAAAGCTGATAAGTGAAACAAGCAGATTTCCAGTTGTGTGCCCTGTTATGGCAATCACTGGAACCCAAACTTCTTATATCTTTGAGGGCTTTCAAAACTTGTCACTCCTTTTGGAAGAAAGCCCAAATCATCTATGCCAACAATATTCAACGTCTTTATGACACTGCCTACAAGCTTGCATCTCTTAAAATGGCAGACCATGATATGGTGTCCTTCAGGGCTGAAGCCCAATCTACTGTTGAAGAACTTAGGATTTTTTTGGAAGCGGACCCATTAGAAGATATAGAAAAGAAACTAGACAAATTTTACATGGTGTTGATCCTTCGTGCCCTACATCCCGATTTTGATCATCTCAGAGATCAACTTCTGACCAGTCATGAAGTCTCTTCCATAGAAACATTGACCACTCGCCTTCTGCGTGTCCCGGTATCTCAAACTCAAGAAGCGCATGAACTAGTGGAACCATCTGTCATGGTTGCCACACGAGGAAGAGGAGAACGTGGCAATAGAGGAGGAGGACGAGGAGGTCGGGGACGTCCTCAATGCACATACTGTAAAAGGATGGGTCACACTCAACAAAATTGCTACTCCTTACATGGTTTCCCTTCCAAAACTGCCAATATTTTGAAGACTGAAATTTTCACTTAGAACACTGAAACTCCCATTTCTAAGTTCATCGAGGATGAATATCAAGAGTATCTAAGGTTAAAGTCTAACAACGTGACACAACCATCTCAATCTCCCAATACATCAACAACCTGCATTTCTCAATCCATGGAAGGTCAAAATTCATGGGTAATTGACTCAGGTGCTTCTGATCACATTTATGGTAATTCCTCTTTGTTTTCATCTATTTCCTTTCGAGAAAAACCTCATTTCATAACCTCTGTCTAGATTATCTTTGATGAAATGTTTGTCAGTCTCAATGTGTTTGGTCCTGTCATGTTGTATTGGATTATGAGCTATGCTTATGGTAGACTTATTGTCATAGTGTAGTTGCACAGGGTTATCAACCTTGACTTTAAGATCATCCAATATGATTTTCATCCAGAGTCCTTCACACATTCCTTGAGCAAGAGTTCGAAATTCAGCTTCTGCACTAGATCGAGATACTCTATCTTGCTTTTTGCTTCTCCATGTTACTAGACTATTTCCAAGAAACACACAATACCCAGAAGTAGATTTTTTATCAGTAATAGAACCTGCATAGTCAGGATAAGTATACATTCTCATAGGCAATGTGTCTTCCCTTTTGAATAATAGTCCCTTTCCTAGACTTGACTTCAAGTATTGGAGAATTTGGTCAATTGCTTGCCACGGTCCTTGATGAACTTCCTGTAGTACCTAGTGAGCCTTAGGAGCCCTCGTACTTCCTTGACTTCTTGAGGGA